AATAAAGTGAAAACACAGATTCACAGTAAACCATTTACACACCACTGAAATTGAGCAAGACGCAGACAAAATCTTATGTTGGCTGACACTTACGCAAAACCTAAATAAACAATATAAATAGATGGTTTGTCAATAACGGTTACTTAACATGTAACATAAGAAAGAATAAAATAAATCAAGAGCTGTGCACAACTACAATTCTAGCTCAACTAAGGTTACAGATTACTGCAGCTTCATACATTGAAATGAATTCAAACCTATGAAATGATCATTTTAACTTGTATTGTCATTTGTACATAGCTACAGTGTAGTTATGACAATGAACATCTTAGGTCACAGGCTCCTCCAACAGTGCAACACAATAAAACAAATAATAGTGCAAGTAAATAAAATAAAGTAGAGAAATCCTCAGTTAACGCCAACCACTGAAACACACATCTGCTTTTAAAGTAGTCTCTGAACACCACTGCTTAAAATCTAATTCCCTTCTATGGTGGTCATCCTCTGATCTAAAAACAAACAGTGTTTGTTCACTTTGTGGTAATACTCTGCTCTTGCCCTGCAGTTCAAAGTAGACTGTAGAGAACATTTGATATGGTTATTGTTTTGTCACAATGTTTGATGATGCATCTATAACATTTCACAAACATTTCAAAGTGAGTTAATATGTCATAAGAACATACAGCACCTTTTCTTTTGAAAAATATTCAATGTGGACGGCAAGCTTGTGTAAAATGATTCAACCTCTTTTCAGTCCCTTGGTGCCGCTTTTCTGTTTTCTCTCCTCAGTTTCTCTCTGTAAACATGAGTGTGTTGAAGCCCCAGCATGCAGTGTGCAAACATACCCACATCCATCCGTTAGATGTGTTGCATACTACTCTTGGCATTAGAAACATTTAGATTTGTTTACATTTGGATGAGATGAAATTAATATTTAAGTATGAACCAACTGACTCGCTGTCAGGAGAATTTCAACAGAAGCTTGCACACACACACACACCACAGAGTCAGTCTGGGAAAACAAGCTGCGCACAGCCGGCAGAAACAAATACAAATAGATGCTCAGAAACCCTCAACATCATTTCAGTGCGGGATTTATTTTAGTATCAACCTATTGCGCTTTTTAGAATGTTAATTGACTCTCCAGTAAACATTTAAATAATTCAAAAGTTACACTTCCACTTTTGCAAGCGAGAGTTTGAATGCATTGAAAAGTTTTTTTTTTCATTCCCCACTCCTCGTCTGTCGAGAGGGCTTGAAAAAGCAGGGAAAAAGATAAAAGAAAAAGAATGGGTTTCATAGAGCCATAGTCATTAAAATAATCTGAAAATAGCAACTCGCTATCATCTGTTCTCATAGCACGGGTCAGGAGCTCTGACACCTCCAAAATTCCTCCTGTCAGGGTAGGGGGCCATTTGTATTCTCTCTCATTAGGCAATTTGACTAATGACCTGCCGTGGCTGCAGAGCTACTGAGGGACCCGGAGCCTCGCACCCTCTCTCTTGCAGCAGCCTGAACACACACCCTCTATTGGAATGGCACAGATGGCATGCCCGGGCGACAAAATAAACTACAATATGTCTCCGAGATGCTGTCAGGCCTGGGCACTATTTCTCATGTCAGAGAGGGGCTAAGGGCTGTGAGTGGGCAGAGGGGGTCCTCCTCCAGCTCTCTGTTCATCTACTCACCATTATCTGCTGAGGTGACAGAGAGCAGGGTCTGCAACTAGAATAGCATTTCCATGGTCTGCATAAAGAATCCGCCTCAAATTGAGAGTCACGCCGACAGGAAAGGTATGGCAATGTCTAGCCTGGCTACACAAAGAGACAACATCCAATTGTTTGGAATATAAAATGCAACCGGGTTCCAGATAGAGCTTAAACCGGCGGCTTTACTTATTATTTCTTATTATTTTATCTTACTGGACAATAGGAATCAGCAAAACGCAATAGAGGCTCATTCCCCTGGCCGTGGCTTTCTCACTTATTTCAGGTGCGAGTCAGATTCAGCCTGGTAATCAAAGTAGACAGAGATCAATGCTATTCTGCTGGATTAGTGAAGTGTAAAATAAAAGTTCATCAACATTCCTAAAGTGTTACTCTTGAGTTCAGGTAAAATGGGGTACGCTTGATCACCCGTGCATATTTTCAATCAGTCGTCAGTGTCTGGATCGCAGCTCAGTGTAGTTCGTGTGTGTGTGTGTGTGTTTTGTATGTAAGCCTGTGTGCGCGGCCATGTCTGGTAGAAACCCTGGAAATGCAATGTATGGCGCTGCTGAAGTCCTGGGTGACAGTGTATCCAACAATGGAAGAGTGAGGGATTAGTGCTCAGCCCAGCGTACGAGGGAGCCCTTCCCGCCCTGAAACAGCCATTCATCTGTGCCCAGGGGCTGGAGATGACAATGCAGCCATTGCTCATCGCACCTGACGGAGCCATTAATAAGGCGATGATCCACACGGGGCCCGTGCTGACTCCGTTCTTTACACTACAATCACTCAAGCCACAGGGTCCTCCTTACTTAACGCCACCTCTGCGCTCGCCGCCGCCGCCACCATCATCATCATCATCATGATAGTCATCGTACCAAAATTCCTGCCAGATGTTTTCATATTCTCTGCGCTCACATACTCCAAACCACCCAATTCCCTACACTGCATTACAGTCATGAGTTAATGGACTGTAGCCTGGCCATTTGAGCGGCTCGAACATGCTTCATAGTGGGATTCCTGGTCAGAAGATTGGATTTACATTATTTTTGCCCTTTGCACCTCCGGATTTCACCGTGGTATCCATTTCTTACCACCAAGTCATCACCTGCGCCTCTCCATTTATCTGGATGTAAGATAGCCTCTCTAGTATAGATGGTGGTGGAATACAAAGTGAGATCTGGTTTTAAATGTAATCCTTGAGCAATAAAGAAACTCTGTGGCCTTCAGCTCTGCATTCATCTGTCCGCGCCACGCAGATCCATCAGCAGCTACAATCTCGGCTTCCCGTTGCTGGCTATTGATTTAAATGTATTCTCCCTGCCTGCCTCTGCCTGGCTGTGGTGCTCACAGCGACACGGTAGTGCGTGTTTGTTCACTTGTTTTTATGACCTTAAACAAGTCATTGGACCCACCTTGGTTTGCTTTCTGCTTTAGATGGCCATGTATCCAAAGGCTTTACAGGGATGTAGTTGTCAAGGCTGGGGCATTGAACAGCCTTTCGTGGGTGGAAAAGGAAGCTAAACATTTCACTACTAGCATTTTTTAGCCATGCTAGTAGCTATAGGGATGGCAATGTCGGTCGGGCGGTTGGTCCACCTCTTCGACCCAGACTGAATTTTTTCAACAGCCTTTTATGGATTGCCATTTAACTGTCTTACAGACATCAATTGTTCCAAGTCGATTAATAGTAATGATTTTGGTCATTCCCTTCGCCTCGGGTTCCACCATGATGTTGATATTTCTGTTTTTATGTGAAACATCTTATTTACTATTTGATGGATTGCCTTTAAATTTGGTACAAGCTCTCTTTCCCCCCTCTGGATGAATTGCGATAACTTTGATGATCCCTTGTTTGTCATGTAGCGCCATCATCAGGTCAACATTTACATTGGTACAATACTTGGTATTAGGCATGAGCTGTCCTTTCTTGGGGCAAATGATCAAATACTGCCAACCTAAAGTGACATGGTAAACATGGCTATATAATTTAACATGTTAGCATTGTTTTTATTGACATTTTCATTAGCTCAAAGCACTGCTTTGTCCAAGTATAGCCTGATAGAGCGTGCCTGTAGACTCCTGTTATGACTACATCTGTGGGAGATGAGTGGAAGCCAAGAAACTAGACAAGCGTTCCTGTGGTCATGAGGGTGGGGGTCATGCTTTGATTACAAAGATCACATTGTACTACACTTGTGTGGAAAGTGCCAAACCATGGATCTGTGTAATAACCAAGAAAGGAAAGCAAGTCACATAAGTGTCAAAGTGAGGGATATTTTAGAATGTCCTACTTTGGAATATTGCTGTGAACAGGAAAGGCCAAGAGGAGTGTCGGCTCCAAAACGATGACTCATGAACAGCTTCGGCTTACATTTATGAGTTCCTTTCCCCGTGCCAGCGGCCTGATGGACTGTGGGTAAAAGAACACTAGTTGGAAGCTTGGCCTCTTGATATTTGGGGCTCGTGTCGAAGCCAACGGCAGGAAGTTTTGTGCCTCCAGATTTGGGAGTTTTATAATGAAGCCAAGCAGCTGCAGTTTTCCCTTCAGTCTGGAAACGGGAGGCTTTGTGTCCCTTGTCACCCTGTGTTAATTTGGGCCCTAATGTATTTTATAAACAAAGGGCTGCTCTCTAGCCTGACAGTCGTGACACCTTGATTCCAGTGCAGGATGCATGCAGTATGGGGTTACACCATTAATAATCTACTGGCAGCCATCACACCATTTTAACCACGATCATTATGATAAAGGGCATACACTTAATTACAGGCCTGCTTAATTATAGCTCTGTTGAAGCTCGTTTGTTTGGTCAAATGCTAATTATACCACCACGCTCTTGGCAAGTCCTCATTTCAATCCACTTTTTGCCGGCTGAACAGTGTGGCTTATTTTCATGCAAATTTGATATCTGGTGAATGTTTTGTCTCTCTTCTTTCCACTTTTCTGCGCCTTGTGTGAGTGTGTCTTTGTTTCCACGGTGAATATCTCTCAGACAAGATGGAATCAGGAATAATCAAGAGTAATTAAAGTGGAGGATGGTTGGGAAAGGGCTGGGTTGGAGGAGAGAGTGGAGGTGCTCAAATACAGCACAGAATAAAAAAAAAAAAGCCTTTCATCTTGTCTCTGTAGACGGAGGGAGGGGAGGTGTTGGGGGGGGGGGCTGGGGATGTTGATAGCTTTGCCTTTTTATAAACCTGTGCTTAGTTTTGTGGAATTACTAAGGAATAAGAATAGGGAGTAATACATATATATTTTATGTCAACCTTAAACTTTGTTTTCTTACTTTTTTGCAGCTCTGGACGACGTGCCCTTTGTCATCACTGAAAAGTTTTGTGACAATCCCAAAGAGGTAACAATTCTTTGAGGAACAAAATGGCAAATGATTGCATTATTCAAATACTATGAGAGGGGTCATGAAAGTCACTCTGCAACTACTTGTTCTGCAACCTGTTGTGTATTATGGTCGTGATATGTGCTCCTTGCTTCCAGTATACAGCCCTTAATCCTTTCCTTTCCTGTTCCTGGTCCTTTCCTCTCCTTCCCTTTTGCTTCCTTTCCACTCCTTCGCTTCAAATTCCTCTCTTTCCCTTTACTTTCCCTTGCTCTTCTTCTTTTTCCTCTCCTTTTCTTTCCTCTCCATCCTTTCCTCTCCTTTGCTCTCCTTCCTTTCCTCGCTGTTCCTCCAGACTGAGTGATGAATGTGTGCAGTCAGGCAGAGCTGGCTCAATGCAGTCCATTTGGCTGGCTGGCGGCGGTTGTCACTATAGCCCCGTTTGTATTGACACCGAGAGGGAGAGGATTAAAGATTTTAAGCATGCTTACTTAGCCATGAGCCTAACCGCCATGTTTCTTGTGTGTGTTTTTTTTTCTTCTTCTTCTTCTTCTTCTTCCTCTCCCTCCTCCTCTCCCTGCTTTTTCAGATGCAGCAAGTCAATTTAATGGGCATTACGATCAAATCCCTGGCAGAGATCGAGGAGGAAGTGAGTAGAGGCTGCAACGCTCGGCTGCCACTGACGCCGCTGGCCCAGAATGCAAAGCAAACGGTCTTGGGGTTGTAATTAAGTGTCTGAGACAGCGAGGCCCTGTTGGCTCCACTAAGCCCCAATTGAATAAAAGCATGGCCAGGCGAGGCAGCCATTCTCTCCTAAAAGCTTCGTCTCCTGTTCCAAAAACACTTGACTTTTATTCCCCAATTCTTCTCTCAAACAGCTCAATCTAGCACCTCGCACAGTGCTGTAGGTCTTAGGGAGCTTTTTTCCGGTCAGATTTTTGCATGTTTCACTTTTCAAGTTTCCAATCGGCTTCATTTTCAGTAGCGAAAAAGTTCATGCAGAGCAAAGAAAAGCTCCACAAAGTACTCCCCATTTCTGATGAAACACTGTAGCCTGCAGGCATCCGTAGGAAGAAAATCTGTGTGCAGCCTGTGTGTTCGTGAGAGCAGGAGAAAGAAAGGGAGTGTGTGCGTGCGTGCATGTGTGTGTGTGCTTTAAAGAGAGTGACAACCCCCCCTTCTCTCTCATTAGCACGGTATCTTGGTATCAGAACTGCCAGGAAGTGACAGACCACTGTAAAAGAACAGGTGCTGTTGGGTTTGAGATGTGTTACAGAGCAAACACTCCCTCATCAAACCGGGTGTCTGTTCTGCACTCTGCCTCTGTCTTCTGTCACATACTATCCAAATCACACAGAGTCGCCATCTTGTCATATGGTCATCTGAATGAAGCTCATTGTCAGCGAAGGTATTAATGGCGTGTACGTGTTTGAGTGTGTTTTCCAGGGTGGGAGACAGGCTGGCTGCTCATATATGCTCTTGTCTTTTTTTTTTTTTTTTTTTCTCCTTCTTCCTCTCCTCTCCTTCTCAGGGAGTGTGATTAGCAGGAGGACACATGGTGAGCTGAGCTGGGGAAGGGAAAGGAAGGGGCATGAGAAATCATTAATTACAGCCGCGCTGGAGCTGATGAAGTAAATGTGAGATAGTGTAACACACAGGATTTAGTGAAGTGGACGACAGCACAAGATTAATGGTGGGGCCAGGCTGATGAGGATGAAGTCACAGCTTAGCTTGATAATTAGTTTCCAAGTGGAAGCATCCCTCACCATTGTGTTATTTTTACTTCTCTCCCCTTGTTATTATCCCTCGATGATATCTGCAGAACAAGAGGGGGAATATAGTCGGTGAGATTGTTGCAAACACGTTGGACAGCAGAGGTGTTTCTTTTAGAAAGTGATGCATGTCTGCATTATTTTATTTCTTTCTGTTCTTTGTCTAGTTTTGCTTGTTTTTCTACATCAGTTGTACACTGTAAAAAATAGTATCCACGCTTCTCTCCATTATCAAGGCTTCTGCAGAAGTAGAGACACATTTTTTAACATAAAAAGCACAATATAGAATATCAGTTCAATCTGATCAATCAGTCAGTACCCTCATTTCTAAATATTGTGGAGCGTTTTCTTCTTCTGTTGTCCAGAAGAGGTCACTGTCCGTGCTTAAACTGTGGAGCTCTTTTTCCCCCTCTTTAGAAACCGGAGGCATTTTCAGCAAAGACCCTAATTGCCTCTTTCTAAACCCATTAAAAAATATATAGATTCATGAAAGAGATGTACTTTCAAGAATTATACATATGCACATGTAATTGAGGAAAACTGTTGTAATCACAGCCCCAGTTGCAGATAAGACCATTTCCTAACAGGCATCACTTAAGCCATGTCTCGGATGATGTTGGTTCCAGCAATTAGGCATTCTTTTCATTTCCCAAATGACTCACAAAACTTGCGGATATTATAATTGCTTTTAGCCACGCATATCTAATTTGTGTCTTTTTAAGTGTTAATTAGTACGCGATTTAAAGTGACATCTTTATGTAGTTTGCTCTGCTGAAAAATGTTGTTGGCGGCTGGCTAATGGTTTTCCGAGGGAGCATGCTAGGGTGGAAAGGAAGTGTGTGTGCACACATGACAAGATTTTCATTAGCACCTATGTATGATGGGCCTTCAGTGTTTGTAGGGAGTGTGTACAGTATGTGTGTTTCTGTGCATGCTTGTGTGAATGTATGGAGGGGCAGTGGTGTACAGGGCTGTGTGAGAGGTGTGAGTGGGAGAGCTCCAAATAGAGGTGGAATTAATGAAGACAACATGTCACATATTTTTGGCAGTGGAGCAGGGACAGGAAATGAAGCTGGGCTCGTCTGGGTGACTGCCGCCCATGTTCTTGTGTGTCACTGTCCTGTCAGCCTCTGTATAAAACTGGCAGACATTGATACATGCTCTCCCTGATAACACCCCATTCCCCCATCCATCATCAGCACACACACATACACGTGCAGATTATTTATTTACCGTGCCAGATGTTGAGACAGAATTTTTGTGTTGTGGGGGGCAACATTTCTGCTCAACTAAAGGTCTTGTGATACGTGACATGCTGCTGCGTAACTTGCAGCTTCCGCTAAAGTATATGAGGATCAGGACAATGGTATTGTGATAGTGAGAGCCCGGTCCGAGCCTCTGTGGCTCCATGGCTTCTGGTCGAGATTTGGAAACTTATTTCAGTGATCATACAGCATCACCTAGTGCTATGCTGCAGTAATACAACTGTCTAACTTGGTGAAGTGCGCCCTACTTTGTTTCACAAAACCTCACTGTTCAGAAAGTGGAACTACACCCACATCAAAATCATTAATGTGACATTTTATAAAGAGTTTGATAAATATGTAATCAAACATTAGACTGTTAGTTATTGTAGATCATTACATATTCCCAGTCACTTGCATAATAAATTGGTATTTCTTTCAATCATTTTAATTCATAAAATAGATTTCGATAATGTATAATATATAAGATAAAAGTCTAAGTACTTTTTGGAACTGCTAATAATGTTGGGCAATCACCAATACTGCTTTCTCTTTGATACTGATTCTAATACCTTAACTCAGGTTATCTCACAATATTTGATACCAATCCAATACCATTGCTCTCATTTTCCCAAATGTAACATCTCTGTTGTCGTCACTTTGTAAAACTCAAGAATATTTCCAATGTGATGTCATTTGAGGCCAGCAATTGCTTTGGTTCCAAAGTGAATTCAGCTGAAGGCAAAGCACTGCATTTTGTAATAGCAATGAACAGATTCTAATTATTATTGCAGATCTGTCACACTATGGCCTCTTTCCTATAGGTCTTTTTCAGGGATAAAAGCAATTGTGCAATATCTTTGAATAATATCAACACCATTTTTTATATTTGGGTTTATGACAAAATATACTTTTGGCAACAAAGTTTAAAATATCTACTCAGTAAATTATCATTTTAATAAATATAAGTTAAATAATGATGTATAGAAACAGTGGAAAGAAAAACATTATACCCTTTTCTGCTTTTAATGCCACATACAGTAAGTTGAGCATTATAGTTTGAAGCCCTCTTGCTTATCAAAGAGTAATGCCCATGCTTCGCCAGAGGGGGGCAGTGTTTGTTAGTTTTTTTCTCATTGTAAATTCTGGACGACCCTCTCACGATCACGGTAATGTTTGGCCTATAAGAGATTCGTATTTAATCAATACATGTTTAAGCTATAGTTCAACTTAATATCAGTGTAGAACATTCAGAGAGTTTTTTAAATGTTTGTGCTCAGTTTACTTTTGTAAACATATATATACTTCATTTATTTGGTATTAAGATGGTGCAGGTAAATTGTGTTTTATGCTGTTTTTACCACATGTTGTATTAATCGTTTTGTTTTTTTCTTCTCCTGCAGTTTTACTACAACTTCAGCACAGAGCGGAGCATCGCTGTGTGACCCTCCACGCTGCGGTCTCACCCTGCCAGACTGACACACAACGACTGAAACACTACTGACTGAAAGGATCATGTGAATACTTGTAAAATAATTTAGAAAAAAAACAACTATATTTTGTAATTTAAGAGAAAAAGGTATTTTTACCTTAATGGATTTTATTTAAATGATTTAGTACTAAATGTATTTGTTATAATGTACAACTGTGCACAATACATTTGAGAAGATTTTGTTATTTATCTTGAAATAGATTTTTTTTTAAATGTATGTTTTGTTGCTCAAATACATAAGTGTCTGGCCTAAAATAAACCAAGCTAATAAATGTCCTTGAGATGAATTCATAAAAGTCTGTTAGCTGTGACTCTCATTTTGTTTATCAGTAAAACAGGTGAGTCGCAGTCATGCAGGAAAGAAAGAGCAGCCTCATCCCACGCAAACAGGTCTCTGATGTTCATTTCCAGCAGAGGCATCTCTCCATCACAAAGTTCTTCATGAGCAGCGTGCGGCACCAACGAGCAGAGCTTTGAGACGCAGGAGCCTTTCCCCCCCGACGCACGCCCACATCAGAAGTGACTGCTCTCCTGAGTCAGGTCTTTAAGGGTAGAACAGATCAGCTCTGTGAACACGTTATTAGTGACTATTATATTTGTTATTTCTATTTACACCTGTATAGAGAATTGTTTTGAAGGAACAGAAGAAAAAGGGACCCTTTCTTGGAAGTTGTTTTTCACTACTTTAAAATGTGCAACCCTTAACTTACTAATTATCCAACATTTCATGCATATATTTCTTTAATTAGGTGGTTTTTTTCCTTCTTCTTAACAAACTAAACCACACTTTTCTGCCAGATCCAGAAGCAGAGTTTACACTTGGATACCAAAACATCACTTTCTTCTCACTCCAGTTCACATGTGTCATTTGCAACTAATTAAATTGTCAGAATCCATTTGCACATTTCTGCAGGTGTAATTAGTATTAGAAACTCATTAATGGATTAATGTCCCCGTTGTTAATTACGCTCTCCTCCTGCTAAGTTTGTGAACTTATGGATTCTGCTAACAATGCAGGTATTTGTTTTCCTCCTGACCAACATTCCTAATGACTTTTGGTATTCACAGGTGTTTAATGAAGCGTAGAGCAGATGACAAGCCTCCAGGAGCGCTCGCGTTAACTCCTCTGTTCTGCCGCTGAAATCAGAGCGACGGTCTGAGGAATCCTCTGCAGAGGGAACAGCTTTCACGCTCCTTCATGAAGGTGACACTCATGTCAGTGATGCCCTAGAGCACAGTGACAGCCTCCGACAGCCCTCCCCCCGCTGCGCATAAAGTGCATATATACAGTACGCCATATGTATCCAGATACACACACACAGGCTGCACAAGCAAAATTGCATTTTTCACCTTTGCTCCAGAAATACTTTGCAAAAACTAAAAATATCACTATTTTACTAGCTCTTAAATCCCTTTTACAATTCTTTAGATTATAGTTTCACATCTTCAAGTGTTAAGACTGGGTGAATTCATAGCATATAGTATATCATTTCATTTCAGGGGATGTGTTAAGTCGAAGCAATATTTAGAAAAGCTGCAAAACTGTATCATGAAGGATGAGACAATATACTATTGTTTTTTTATTATTAGAAAATCCCATGAAAAGTCCAAAACTAACAATGGAGGAATCCTAACACCAAATATTGTCTAGCCATAGCCTGATAGACTGTAGCTTATTTCTCTGTGTGAGCTCCGAAAAGCTCACCATCAAGAGGCCCCGTTGCACTGAGTGAAATGTCCTCTGAAATGTCTTTAAAGTCCATTTCCCAAACGTTGTCGTGCTGCTGTAAATGCTCACCAGCACATCAAATCAAAAGTTTATAAAAGGTCCCCACAAATAAACTACTTATTCGTGTTTGAGTAATGTTTCAAAATAACCAAAAGAAAGAATATATTCTTGGCCCTTTTTAAAAGATGTACTTATTCAGTAGGAAAAAGTGGTGTTGGGGCTGAGTGCTACTGACAAGTGTGGGTTGAAACTTATTTAGATACGGACAACCACATTGTTGATTTTGGTCTTTTCATGAGAAGTGTTGACAACTACAAAAATATAGAATATCTCCTGCTTTAACCTGAACATTTCTCTGCAGAACCTACTCGGTAACTTCTTAGTATTGTGTTAGCAGCGTTGTATTTCTGCTCTCAGCAGGTAGAGTCTGATGTTAGTGCTGCAGGTCAGATGTTTACATAAAGCTAATCACCGGCTCTGCGTTCATGCTAAGAGAGGCAGTGCAGCCAAAGTCTCCAGATGGGCACGGAGCTTTGTGAACCACAACTCCCTCATGAGCCCTGCCCAGCATCACCCATCAAAAAGCTGCCTCACATGGTTTCACTTTCCCTCCACTTTACGATATGGAAAATAATAATGATTTTCAGAGACTACATTTTAAAATTAAAATGGAAACGACCTCTTTTTAAGTCTGTAAACTATGCCGCAGTTTGGAGGCCAGAGGAGTAGTTGAATGCGGTTCTGTGTCTCTCAGCGTGACCCATGTTGACTGTTTAAAGCATCTTTTAAACTCCCTTGCTATCTCTAGCCTATCAGGCTCTTTAGGATCTCCAGTACTGCGTTGCTCAACAAAGTCGAGCTGAACTGCAGAGCAACACATCAAAGCCCCACCCTCTGTGAGTCGGCCAGATGTCCCGTGGTCATTTTTAAACTCACACCCCGGCACATGACATGGAGCAGTGTGTAAGCATGTAGACAGAGGTGGATGGGCCGCTTGGAAATTGGAAAAGGAAGCCTGTATTTATGAGGTGGTTTGAGGTGCTGTGTTAAGACAGGCTTAGCCTGCCACTCTCCCTCTGACAGCCCCGTTTCCCCCTGAGCAGGGGTGACCAGAGAGAGAGAGAGGTGAAGGAGTGAAGGCAGGAAACCTGTCAAACAGACCAGACCTGGACCCGTGGTGAACAGACTCTCAGGCAGGTGATGCAGCAAATCACATTGACAGAAGATGTAAAGGCTAATGTTCACATTATTCCTATTTTCATAACAAGAAAAAACAGGAAACACAATGTGATTCCTTCAGCCAAGTGCATGCTGGGACAGGGTAAACCTTCCATGACCTTAAACAGGAAAGGTTTTGTAAGAAAAATCAATATTGAAAGAAACCGAGACACAGGCAGCGAAACACTTACTCTGCCATTCACCAGTTACCTCCTACAGTCTGTTGTGTCTTGCTCTACGCTGACATCATCAAATGTCGGAGTGAGAGGTTGGACGTGTGGTCTTCTCCGAACCCGCCACCTTGACAACCCCCTGGGCAGCGCTCCAAGGAGAGCCTCACATCAAATCTGTCTTTCTGTACCACAGCTCGAGGTAAGATGAGTGATCTCCCCGAGCTGGGATCCCCTCTCCTCCCCCACACAGCGGCTCTCCTCCCCTCTCTCTCTCTCTCTCCGCCATGGCGGCCTGCCCATGTGAGTCAAATTATTGTAATTGAGCAAGGATGGAGTCGGGTGTGAGGTGATCTCTCTCTTCATCCCCTCCCTCCCTTCCCCTCTCTTTCTCTCTCAGATATTCCTGCACATGTTGTGAAATGACCAGCAAGCATCTCTTTTTTTTTTTCTTCCCCTGTAACACAGAAATCAATTAACTCCTTTCAAGTCAGATCAAAGGCCCAATACACCGTCCAGGTCTCTCCACAACCTGCGGGACAATTAACTCTCCCTTTGGACAGGCTGGGCAGATGAAGGGAGGCTGCTGCCACTGTTCACATACGTGTGAAGTAGTCGTAAACAAACGGGAAGTGATTGGGCATAATTACATCTAGCATCCCCCTAATTTAGCAGTTAGCTGTGCATTTATTCAACAGGATGAAAGGGTTGGAATTCACCTGATGGGGACCTCGTGACAACTGGGAAATGCTCTTTCGCTTCTGAGTATGTTTTAGAAGATAGTTTCGCTAACAGCCATGGACAGATTTTGAGACAATGGGCCCCCGCCCGCCTACATAGGAGCAAGACATCCCGACGGATAAAGTCGCAAAACAACCACAAACATGGCTAACGCATGCTTGTCGTTTTTTGTGTCTCTTAAGTAGTTTTTTTTCTGTTTCTGCAGTCACTTTGTGTATTTTTGTGGTAGGTGTTGTTGTCGCTTTGCAGCTTTTCTCTGGCTTTGCAACCATTTGCATATTTATTGTGTTTTTGCATCTTTTGTGGTCATTTTGTGACTTTTGGTGGTGGTTTTGCATCAGTTCTGGTTCAGTTTTTGTCTCCTTACGGTTGTTTTGCATGTCATTGTTGTACTTTTGTCTCGCTTAGTATATAATTCAAGTTTTGGTTCTCTTTGCAGTAGTTGTGTGTCTCTTCGTGCCTGTTTTGAATCTGTTTTTGGTTGTTTTATATATTCTTTTAGTCAGTTTGCATCTATGTGACTGCTTTGGCTCTGGCTTAGTCCCTCATTGGCCCCTGTGCCGGCGTCTGTTAGGCCCGCTCAGAAATGCTACCTTGGGCATGATTGTGGCACAACACAGTGCAGAGTGTGACATCAAACTGATTGGACAAGAGGGAGCGAGGGCAGCTTTCGTCCACAGACAGGTGCACTGACCCTGTCCACCCCCGAAGGTGCCACTTGCATTTTATTGGACATTTAGGACCGGCTAGCATTTTTTAACAGCCACCTGGATGCAATAAAGGGCCAGCTCCTGAGCTCTGGCTGCCCAGAGGATTTCCCAGCAGCTCCCGTGGGACCTCTGGCTAGTTAAGATGTTTATTAAGCTGAAAGTGGTCCAGTGGGAAAACACAGCACTTCTGAGAGATTCGGGCCAGCAGTTTTCTTGTTAGTCGGAGCGCTCCCCGGAGGATTGGGTTTCTTTTTCTTTCAAACCTCGCAGGGAGGACAGGGTCAGTTCACAGGGCACGAGGTTGACCAACTGGTAACTAGGCACATGAACCCAGGAAGGGGGATATCTAGAGACCATCAAGGTCAGCTAGGAGTGATTCCCACAGTTCCCTAACTGAGAATGTTAGCTTAACACATCCAAGGTAGCTCTGAAACGCTGGAGTATGGCAACGTTAGAAAAGTAAACTTCCAAAAGTTCAAGAAGTATCTTGTGGTAGCAGCAACAGCTATAACTAAATATAGAGTGAGTTTATAGGGTTGCATCTTGTGTAAACGGGTTTGATTTGTTCAAAGTCTGTAGTCTGTCATTACATGTTGAATTGCTATGATATAAATATGAGTGCGGACGGTAGCTCCAATACATAATGTTACTTTCTATTTAATGCACAGCTGAAGTTCTTTGAAGAAAACGCGGGTCCAGAGCGGTGCGATGTTAGTTCTGCTAGCTGTGTG